CTGCTGGCTGAGTATGGTGGCTTGGCGTGCTTTCTGTTCTTTGCGGCTTGCGGCACATCATTCCTGGATGCATCTTCAAGTCTTTAAGTTTCACTGGTACTTCTGTTGATTATATATATATATCCTGCATTACGTCAAGGGCCCGAGACTATGGGAGGTAAGCCATATATATTCCTTATTATGGGGTACTGCAGGACTTATATATCATCAGCCGTTAGACCGCGACCAAAACCCTTAAGAACCCCAAGCCCCACATCCAGTTGTGGCTGCGGATGTTCGCTCAACTTCGGAGTCGGTCTCATCCTCTCCGCCTTTCTTGCCGGGTTCCCAGCTCCCCTTTGTCCTAGGTAGCATTAGGGAGGCCCCTTAAAGGGGACCCGTCTTAACCCTACTTGTGGCTCTCTTATAAAGGGACCTTATGGAGAGGGTCTATATCCCCAAGGGTCCCCCTTAATCCCAGCTCCCACTTTGGTGCTGGCCCTATAGGCCCTGAAACCCTAAACCCCAAACCAAGAAGAAAAAGCTTCGCAGAATTTTCCTGGGATATCATCTCTGCAGACGGTAAGTCAACTTTAGCATCATAGCTTTTTCTTCGCGCAAGATGAATAGATATCTGAATGCTTCGTAATACTATCCTCTGCAGTCCCTATATCCCTAAATCCCTTAAACCCTAACCCCTAAAGCTCTGGGGCTCTTGGGCTTTGAAGAAGGGATACCCATAGGCTCCATAGTAGTTCCTTTTGGGGATTGCCGTATAGCATCCTAAATACAACCCGCAAAAAGGAACTAATATGGAGCCTATGGGATATAGGCTAAATAAAGCTTCAGACTGCTGGTTGCTGATTTCACGCTCCTACACCTTTCCGCACCAGCAACCCCTACTGTAAACCCGAAAACCTAATTCCCTTACGCTAAACCCTAAACACTATAAGCCCTATGTAAGCTTCGACCTCCCACAGACCCGGCTACAGAGAAAGCGGCTGTTTGGCGCTGACAGCTTCGGCGACACCAGCTACCAAAGAGGACCGACTACTGATATTGCACAAGCTTCCGTGCTGCTCAGTCGTAGCGAGTTGTTGCTGTCGGAAACGTGGCTGCTGGTTGTATGTCTGATCCTCAAAGAGAGTTCGTGCCGAAGTGATGTTGAGGGTTGGCCGCAGCAGCTATTGGGTCGGCTCACAGATGTTAGTGCATGGTTGAAGCGTGCAACTACTGTATATCACAGTAGCTTTTCGTCTGTTCAGCCCACGGCCAAGACACAGCCGGCGCGTATCGCGAAGATCATTTGAAGATGATTGCACCGACTGCCCTGGCAGTCTTCTGTCAAGGCCACCCAGAGTACTGCTTTCGCCTCGACGACGTAATCGACCGAGTGGTCGCGCGCACCATCGACTTCAACACTTGGGAGTCAGCTTGGGAGGGGATTTCTTGCTGCAGAGAACAGCTGGCAGAGGCTGCGGTTCAAACAGAGCCCATATCCACACCAATCCCGCTGCAGAAGCCACAATGGCAATACCTCGATGGCGATCACTGGCGGCCTGCTGCAGACGAGTATACGATGTCTCTCGAACATGCGTGCAACTTGGGTCACTCAAGCTGCGAAGTCACTGTAGGGCACCACATCTATGACGTGGACGTTGAGAAGCACACACAGAGGAACAGAGCAACTGGGGTCGAAAGGAGCCTTCGAAGGGTGATGGTCGTGGATCGGGATGCCACAGTGAGCCATCTCCGGATCATCCATGCCCTGCAGCAGGAACAGATTGCTTGTCTGTCCAAGCAGCTTTCCGAGCAGCAGGCACTTTCCCAACAGTTTTTTGGGCTTGTCGCAGCTGGGACAGAGCAGATGGAGCGTCTCGCCAAGCATCTGTCCGAGCACCAAGCACTTTCACAAGAGTTGTCAAAACGACAGGCTGAAGACCAAGAGCAGATAAAGATGCTTTCGCAACAGCTTTCCGAGCAGCAAGCCTTTTATCACAATCAGTTGTCGGAGCAAAGAGCTGCTAACCAAGATCAGAATAGGATGAGGAGGAGTCTTTTGCAGAAACTTTCCGAGAAGCAAGCGCTCTGCAATCAGCTGCTTGAGCAAAAGGCTGCTGACCAAGAGCAGATAAAGCGTCTTTCCAAGCAGCTATCCGAGCAGCAGCTACTCTCGCAAGCGTTGTCGGAACACAAGGCTATTGACAACAGCAAAATTCAGCATCTCGGCGAACAGCTTTGCAAGCAGCGGGCACTTGCCGAAAAGCTGTCGAAGCAAAAGGCGGAGGAGCAAGGACAGATGAGATTTCTCTCCCAACATCTTTCCGCGCAGCGGGCACAGTGCCAGCAGCTGTCTGAGCAAAAGGCTGAGTATCAAGAACAGAACAGACGTCTCTCCCAGGAGCTTTTGAAGCAACAGCTGCTTTCCCAACAGCTGTCTGAACAGAAGACTGTTGAGCAAGAGACGGTTAGGGTTCTTACACAACAGCTGTCCGAGAGAAAGGAGGTTGAGCGACGGCATTCAGTGAGTCTCAGTCATCAGCTTACCAGTGAGCTTCTATCCAGGCTTCCGGATGTTGACACCGCTTCTCCTGCGGGCTGCCTTTTGCACGGGAAGGTGCCTCCCTTGGTTTACAGCGCTCTCAGCAACCTGTTCCTGGCTTCAATGACGTGCCATCGAGAAGCAATACGTTCCGACAACTTTTGTGATCCACCTCAGGTGGAGATCACCAGAATTTCTGAGATTATGAACCCGTACCTTCAAGGCTTATATCGACATGCACGAGAAGGTCTCGCGCGAAGAAGGCCTTCTGGCTGCGCACCTCCCGATGGAATTTCAGCATTTAAGTGTGCCGTGGCAGAGCCTGAATGAATATTTGTTGTTCCACGGCTGTCCAATGGGTGCCGTTGAGAGCATCGTGGAGAATGGATTGGACCCGCAACGCGGAGGAGAAGCGACAGGACAACTGTTTGGTACAGGAGCTTACTTTGCAGAGAATGCTTCGAAGTCGGATTTTTACACGACATGTTCAGAGTGCAGCTCATGCAGAGCATGCAAGCATCCCCAAGCAGAGCGATGCATTTTTTGTGGTACGGGTTCTATTGGGGCAGACGAAGGTCGTGACAGACCAAGTCTGGAAAGACTATGCAGAGAAGAAGAAAGATTGCCGCTCGTGGAAAAGAGCACCAGAGGATTGTGATTCCGTCACAGCCGAGAACTTGCAGAATGGGGGCATGGTGGACCACAGGGAGTTTGTGGTGTACAAAGAGCAACAGTCATTAGTGCGTTTTCTGATCCATTACCGCCACAAGAGCGACTGCGAATGCCACGATTGTAAATATCGCCGTAGTTGATGCTGCTCCTTGGGGACTGAGCAAAAAGAGATGCATGACTTTTCACAGGCTGCGCTTTACGGCGGGCTTCGGGGATGCTGCCGAAGCCGAAAGCACAAAGGCCCAAGCCCTGAAACGCTTGACAACGGAACCTAGTGTGCTAAATAGCTATCAGTATGATTCTGTCGGCTCCCTAGCCATTACTATCTTTAAAGTAGCAAATTATACCCCAAACCTCTCACGTAGTGGTCGGAATAAGCACCAAAATGTGCTTCAGGATTCCTTATCACACTCAGGAGAGTATGTTATGCCCCGGGTTTTTTAGCACAGCTGTCGGAACAGTGGGCAATGATATGCCCGTAACCAGACTGTACTACACTGCAAATTCACAAAAAGGAACTACTATGGAGCCCATGGGTAGTACCCACAACCCTGAAAAAAATCTGAATCCCACGCCCCGAGACCAAAACTCGCACCTCGTTACCCTATATGCCTCAACCCCAGTACCCTGGTCCACAGGACTTACCGAGTTCTTCAATCGCGGCGACTTTTTCCTCACGATCCACTGTGGTCGCTGTATTTCGGGGTTGTAGCAGTTTGGAGTGTTTGGATGTAGGGTTTATGGATGTTTAGTGTCTATTATTGATTTCGTACTACTGATCTTCGGGGTAGTGGGGGCTGTAGGTTTGGGGCACTTCTTTCTACCGGCGGGTTCGATCCCGGAAGTGCACAGCTAACTCTGTGCCGTATAGACTGCATATGCAGACACGGCAGCACGGACTGCAACACCCTTAAACCCAAGATCACGGTTTAGGGTGTAGGGTTCGGGAGTAGGGTTTAGGGTTGCGGTTTTTAGGGCTTTAGGGTTTTAGGGTTTAGGGTTTAGGGAACCAACCCACACTCCTAAAACAGCAAACCTCCGACACTAGACCCTCAACGCTGTACCCCTAAGGCCTAAACCTTACGACCTACAAGCCCTTGCCGCAACCCTAGACCTTAAACCCCCAAACCCTGACACCCTAAACCTTAAACCCTAAAGCCCTAAAGCCCTAGAGCCCTAAGCCCTGAAGCCCCAAAGCCCCTAAAGCCCTAAACCAAGACCCTAAACCCTCAAGCCCTGAAGCCCTAAACCTAAACCCTAAACCCTGAAGCCCCAAAGCCCAACACCCTAAAGGCCTAAAGCCCTGAGCCCAAAGTCTCCAACATTTTCCAAAGAGCCGGCCGGGCAGAGATCAGGACCCTCCAAGTACCTACTATATAGGGTACTGGAGCCTCTGGGGCCCTATATAGTAGGTACCTGGGGGGTTAGGGCAGAGATTAGGAAGTTAGGATTCCGGGTTTCGGGATTAGGAGTGCTGTTTCAGGTTAAAGGGATTGAATAGCTCATAGACATCGTCTTGCTCCATGTCGGGAACTCTCTGCAGAAACGCTAAGCCCCAAGCCCTAAGCCCTAAAACCCTAAAGCTCCTAAGCCCTAAACCCTAAGCCCTATAGGCCCTAAAACCCCTAAAAAGCCCAAAAAAACCCTAAAACCCCTAAAGCACCAAAGTCCTCGAATTTCCCCATGGAAATAAAGGGTCAAATTTCCAGACTGCTACTCAATTATAAGAACCCAAAAAGTTTAAAGGTTAATTGGGTGTTGGGGAACTAAGTTAAAGCCTAAAATATGTAGGTCCTGCACAACCACATCCCCAAAGATGGTCAGGGCTAAACCGTTGGGGGTTTGGGCGTTAGACAGTAGCGGCCAATCTGCTGTTGATTGCGCATCTCTTTAAGCTTCACCGACTTCCCGGCCCGGACCCCCCCGACGGGATCCAAGAAAAGAAGCCCATATAGAATGTGGTATCTTGCCAAGCCCTCAACCCTAAACGCTAAATCCTAAGCCCTACTGTTGATGATATAAATCCTGCACTACCTTAAGGACCCCAAACTATGGGAATTATGGTATATTCCTCATGATGGGTAATGAGGGATTTATATCATCAACCGTATAAACCCTAAACCGTTTTAAGATGCGGGTTGGAATCGGGCCATGCCGTAAGGGACTCCTGAGTTGCTTCCAGGACCCTTCGTACAAGGCCCGAGCAGGTATCCTACCACTTTGGTGGGAAGAGTACAACAAAAAATGCTAATACTGGCTCTGATAAAACAGTCATCAGAAGATCGTAGTCCCGAAACCCTAACCCTGAAAAGTCAAAAGTAAAAGCCAGATTAATGGTAAGAATAGCGTGGGTTGGAGTCGGGCTTTCCAGAGGTCGACTTTGGGAATGCTTGAAAAGTTCGAGTATTCCTCAAGTAAGGGTTTTTGGAGCCTCTGCGTTTCGGTCCAAAGACCCTTTAGGCTCGAATGAAGCCCTTTCTGTAGGCTTCTTAAACCCTCAAGGCCCCCCACCCCCAAGCCCAGATCCTAAAACCCTTATAGGGTTTGGGGTCTGGGGCTTGGGGGGATAGACGCACAACTTCAGGCCTAAACCCTAAACTCAAAACTTTAGGCCTAAACCCTAGACTCAAAAGTTTAGGCCTAAATCTTAAACTCAAGAAATACTCCTACAGACCCCAAATTCAAGGTGCCTCGGTGTTTTTTTCTTCTTTGCTCCGAGCGGAGGACCCGACCTTTGCCTCCCATCGGCGGAGGGAGATCCAAGTGTGGAATGCGTGGCTCGGCTTGGCAAATGGCCTTTTCTTGTTTTTTTGGGGTTTAGGGTTTA